CAAGACCAAGAGTTATTCATACCTGAACAAACTAGTGAAGGATATTATCTGGTCTCCAAACCTCTTAGGGATAATTTGAAGATAAATTCTCTGTCCAAATGTTATTAATTAGATATTTAGCACCTTAGCTAGCTTATTTCTGAGAACCTTTGCAGATCAAAAGGGATACGAAAAAGTGAAGAGAATCAAAGCTCAAACACCAATTTGAATTGAGTTGCACAATGTGAATTTACTCCAGCACTTTGTTGCAATGTAATCTATAAATAATCCTCTGAGGTTCACTTGCCAATTAGAAATCATCACATGGCATACACCATAGATGGCAGTAGTTAATTTGCATGTCAGTGATACATTAATTTGATGAAAATTTTAAAGCTTTATGCACTATTTATATCATAATTGGAAGCACATTTAGTGTACTAATACACTGATTTTTGTTGTATCCAATGTGCTTTTTAAGTGGCCAAGTTTAAATGATCATTAATAATTGTTTGATAGTTCATTTCAGTTCAAGACAACACATCTGCATTTTAGACTTTAAGTTATTTTAACATTATAATCAAGATGTCTGAAAAAAAAGTCACGTCTACGTGGGCGAGAGAGAAGATGAAAATCAGGCTTATATCTACAGGTAGCTGGTTAGATTCGGAAGTTTAATTCAGAGTTCTTGGCCTTAGCCTAAACATGCCACTTGGGTCGATAATTTAGTGGTAATTTAGTTTTATGAGTTTCTTTTCTTTCTCCCAAGTTTTTGCTTTATTTTTTTTCTCTCTCTCTCTGAGTTTTTCTATAGTCAAAAAGAAGATTTTTGTGGGTGGTCTCTTGTAAGAGCTGAAATGGTTGTTGATTCAAGTACAAAGGGAAACAAACTGTGGGCGCTTAAACGAACAAATACTGTATTTACATAGACAGAATTTCAAAAGCTGCCAGCCTGGTGGGATTAGCTTGCCAAGGGAATTGTCACACCTGTCAATCAGGTCTGCCAGGGTAGCAAGCAAAAAGCCAATGGGAGAGAGACAGAGTAATCAAGGAAGAGAAGAGAGGGAAGGAGAAAAAGAAAGGGAAAGAGTAGTGTGCAGGAGTTTCCACTACAATGGATTCACAATAACTTTTTCGACACTTAATTCTACTCTGATATTTTCAGACTACTTAGGTTTTATTGCCCAAAAAATTAAAAGATTTGGTGACTTGGCTTCTCTGATTGGTGCTATAACAGTGTTTTTCTAGAAACTGACATGTCACTAAAGTCAAGGTTAGGGCTTTCATCTTGGTGCAATAGATGTGTGTATGTACTGACTTGCTATGAGCTGATTCCTTAGGAGTCTATGGCTTCTCCACCTAGCCAGCACACAAGTATCTTTAGATCAGAAATCATGCCTCCTTTGTCTCATGTCACCTCAGCATTTGCAATATTAGACTTTAATAACTACTTGCAAACTTGATTGTATTTCTAAACACCTATTCATGTCAACTTTGAGGATCTGTCTCCTTCCACAATTGAAAAACAAAAACAAAATTAGACATTATGACAGAGAAATTGCATACATAAGTAGAACAAGGTAAGGTCATTTGGAAAGATAACACATATATGCACTCCAAGGAGTCTTACACAACTAATAAATCTCCCATGGGCTCTGAGGTTTCTTGTGCCTAAAGCAAAGTGAAAATGTGATCAGTTAAGAAATCCACATTACCCCTGAGATTAAAAATACTAATTTATCAGAAAAAAAGATAGGTACCACGAGTACACAAAATCATTAATCTGCATTGTCTTTTATCTCCTCATTTCAGAAATGTTTCATTTTTATTATCCATTCAAATTAGTCTTCACGTTACAGGAAATTTAAATAAATATTGGTTATTAAAATGAAAATCTAATTCAAAACATTTTCTTCACAATAGCTTGTGAAAGAGAAGACTAAATTTACTATTTAAATGAGCTTATTTGAATCACTTAATCAATGTGTTTCTAGTTGCATTTAGTTATTAAAATCAAATCAAACATCTTTTCTTAGTAAACATTTAATAAAAGTTAAACTCATAGAAGAAACTAAGCTTTTAAAATAAAATATTCCCAAAATAATCATTGACAATTTCCATTTCTTCATACATAGAAGAGCACCCCCCAAAAATACAACATAAGAAAACAAACAGAAGATAGTTTTGAATACTTCTTATAAAGAAAAGTGAATGGAATTGAAGCCAGCAGTGAAATGTAACAAAGCAAAGGCACCATGAAACTTTCTTATTTTGCCTTAGGCTATATGAAGTTAGTGCCTGATTTACCCAAATGTATACTATGCACTACACAGCTAGGGCTTTTAAAGGTCAAAAACAAATTCCTCAGAGAATTTTATTAAATGAAACTTGCCCTTCTTTTCCTGTCTTTTTAGTCCTGACTCCAAGTTTAATAAAAGTGTTCTCCTTCTCTCTTCACCCCTTCCCCACTAATTCCCACATGCTTTCCACAGTAAGTTCTCTAACCAGACAATGCTGAAGATATTTGCACAAAAATTTATGACATAGGAGAAAAATAACAAAAGCGTCAGACTCAACATAGTATTACTTTAAAAGGCAATTAATTTTGAAGAAGAAAAGGGTATCAACATAAACTCAGCAAGGGCATGAATGATAGTATATAGTACAAATAAATCTCTATTTGGGGGTCCTGAGAAATTTCAGCAAGAGGTTGTTGAGTAATGAATGTTTGTAATTCATTAGCTACTATTTTAAAATGCAAAGCACACCATGACATCAATGATGTTCTTTTAAATCTCAAGAAACAGGCTACTACAATTAAAGCACTTGCAAAAAGACAGTACATTTAAATATAAGTTTTGATGAGATTTCAATGTTTTAATAACAGTAATTTAATAACAGTTAATAATTCTATAGGAAGACATTAAAATCTTGAGATTGGTTCAAAAATACATGTGTTTGTACATCGCAACCTTTTCTAAATATTTAGAAGCATTTTAATTTTGAAAATTCTTTTTTTCATAGATGTCTTAAGTTTTAGTGTATCTTTAAGAAGATAATTGCTATTTACTTAAAATATATATTTTCCAAATAGAGAAAAATAATAACATTTACAAGTGCTTCATTTTCTATGCCCCCTTTCCATCTTCCTTCAGTTCCTAGACAACAAAACAATGGTTCATTCTTCATGTGGAAGAGTAAACTCAATAAACACGAATGGCCAGGGGCCTACAGCAGTGAAATTATGACTTCACAAGGACTTTTTTTTTTCTTTACAAACAAGTAGAAGGACCTTTTTCAACATATTTTAAAGTCATGCTTATTTCAATGATATAATTATCTTGGCAACCCTAAATACTGCTGACTGATAAATTAGACTAAAATAATTAAGTTCTGTTCTTTGCACAATCAAGATTTAGTGCAGTAATCAATCTGGGTAAGAATTTGGAGTCTGGAGACTTCAGAAGATGAACAAGCTACTAGCTAAAATTGGTCATGTGGGAAGATGGTTAAATGAGTATACAGTTTATACATTGCTGTGAATACTTTGCATGTCTTAATCTTCATTAGAACCTGGTTGATTCATTGCTCATGTGGTCCTGTACTAAGTTGAACATGGTATACAAGTAGACAAAAGAACAATTAAAAAAATAATCCAATGTAATCTGTGGGCACTACTGGTATTGAAAACCTAAAATAATATAGGCTGAAAATATAATAGTTTTTAAGAAAAAAGAAAAAAAACGAGATACAAATGCTGCGATGAAAGCACTGAGGTTACAAACATGATAAAACAGAGAGAGAACACAATAAATATACTTTTCCACAGGTATATTTGTGGAAACGTAAATATGGTCTGGATGCCTACCCAGTTTCCATTTTTATTTTCTTCTACCTAACTCTCCATTCTCTCCTTAGAATAAATCATACAGCTTTCCATACCCTAAACAACACTCCCAATGTATGATTTTTCCCTGTGGAATCAGACTGCTGTCATAGAGAGGTGTTCATGTTAAATACTTCTCCTGAGGGCTGGAACTCCAGGCTTCATCAGAATGATACACTTAGCAGGTCCATCAAGGATGTCAAAGTGAAATATAACCAGGGCAGTTGAACGTGTTAGTAACTACTGGGATTTACAATCAGCTACAAATACCTCAAATATACACACATATATGTACATATATACATACACACATATATGCACACATGTATATACATTGTATATTTGTAGACAATATTGTAAATTTGTATATATAAAAATATATATTCCTATATTCACATATATATAAATCATAATAATTTAATAATCTCTCTTGTCAAGAGCTTATTCTGATTACTACCCACAGACCTCAGAAAAAGAAAGGGCATTTTTTTTCCCCCAGCAAATGCATTTTGTAGTAGGCTAAGGAATAGGCACCATGAACAGGTGATACCATTGTAATTTAAAGAATGGAAGAAAGTCAAATAAGAGTATCTACCATCCAACGAAAGGAAAATTGTACGCAGGAGAAGTCTTTTGGCATCTCCCACTGAGGATAACTGGCTCCCTCTGATTCTGGGTACACATGTCTGCCTCCGTGAACATTAGCATGTGGCCAGGGTGGGGGAGCAATGGACGTCTACACCAGTGCTTGGCCATTTGTAGAGTGGAAATTGCACTTTGCTTTCAAAAATGGATTCTCCTCCGAAAACCATGCCATTCGACTAGCTAAAGGCACACATGGAATAAATGCACATTCTAAAAAAAGGAGGGAGAGGCGAAAAAATAAACCCCATCCAGGAATCTTTAAGGGAAACAGGTGCTAGCAAGAGAAGGCGGCCAGCTGTCAATAACATTTAAAACTCCATCTTCGTCACTCTGAAAACAATTTCAATGGGGGAAATAATGTGCCCTGTTTCTGAGGGTTTAATTTACTAGGCTGTCTCTGTGAATTAGAGTCAGATCTAAGTTTCCCACTCAGGAGCGGTTTTCTCTGTCGACTGCGATTGCCCTTCCGAGCTCGAGGTCGGTTTCCAAAATGAGCAAGCCCTTTCCCTCCTGGCAGCCTGGACCCCGCACTCCTCCAGGTGGTCACTCTGATTTACAGCCCGATGAGCGGTGTCTGTGTCGCTCAGCCTGGCCCCAAGAACAGTCACCGCGAACAATGAGCCAGACAAGGGACCCACCCAGCGAACGCCTGCTCGCCGGCCGCGCAAGCCCGCTAAGAGCGGGACGCTCCCGGCTTTGGGGCTCTCGGTGCCCCCACCCCTTCCCCTCTAAACCCCAAGAAAAGCTAGAAGGTGGGTCATTGCCTACACCCAGGCACTCGTGCTCACCCAGCCAGCCCTGCCTCCCAGCACCCACCAATTAGATGCCGTATCTAAAAAGAAAATCAGAAAAGCGGGGCGGCGTGGCGGTCCAGCCAGCTGCCCACCCGGATCCAACTCGCCCAGCTTGGGGGCTTGGCACTCACTTGCGGCCGAGTCCGCGGCATTTTGAAATCCCGGAGGATTTTGGGTGGGGGCAAGAGGTGGGGCCAGGAGCCACAAAGTGGCTTCCGCTCCCTCTCCCGACCCCCACCCCCCGGCCTGGCAGAGCTCTGGGATCGGGCAACACACAAAAGACGGGTCGTATCGGTGCCAGCAACTCTGCCGCCGCCTCGGGCCGTGCTGCGCACCGGAACCGGGCGGCGGGCCTCGGGGTCGTGTCTCTGCGCCGGCCCGGGCGCGCCCGGAGGTTGGAACCTCCTGGACGCCGCCGGAGCTTCCCCCGTGCGCTTTTCGTGCAGAACCCGGTCCGCCGCTCCTCGCTCCTCAGATAAAGAGGCGGAGGCGACGGAGAAGAAATGGAGAGAAAAGGCAAGACTTACTTGGCGACCAAAGGCTCAGCCGGACTCCAGTTCGGACTCGGCAGGTGTCTGTCAGCGCGGGCCCTGGCGGAAGGAGCGGGCGCAGCGCGGAGCAGGGACTCCACTTAGCGAGCACTGGAAACTCCCCTCGCCGCCCGGCCCCCGCGCGGCGCTCCTTGCTGTCACCGCTCCGAGAGACGCAGGCACGCTCCCCGCTGCCTCCTCGTCCCGGTGGGTCTCTCTGCTCTCCTATCCGGGTCCGCCCGCTCCCCCACAGACCACACCCTGTCACCTCAGCAGCCCTCCACTCCTTCCTCTTTGACACTTCCACCGGTTACTCCTCCGTCTGCGTCCTCCCACCCCCACTCAGCCCACGTGCCCCTGCCGCTCCCTCAGCTCTGAACTTCCCCTGCCGGGAGCCCCCACCTCCGCTCTGAAAACCCTTTGGTCTCTGAGCTGGGGAAAGGTCCTGGGGTCTGCGTTCACATCTCCCCAGGCCCTTTGGTGCGCAGGACCTTGCTTTGATTTTGTCATTGCAATGGTTTAGATATATTGTGTGCTACATATTGGGATGTTATTTTTTTAATGAGCTACATATCACTTTTACTATTATAGAAATGTATTCCCAGATGTCACTTAGAGTAATCATGCAGCCGCTGTTCATTGGCCTTAGGAGTTAGACTGTCAGCCCAGCTTACTCCATATGCAGAAAAGCCCACAAAGTTCCAAAATACCCTCTTTACCCTAATTCAAGCCAAACGTGCCATTTTCTAATGAGCCCCCTTCTTCACTGTTGTTGTTATGGAAATATTTTTATATTTACTTTTGTCTGTTTCTGCAGACAATGAGAAGTTTCTTTCTAAGGGCTTCCCTCAGCATTCCGCTCCTAGTTTCTTGATGATGCTTATCACTCATGTGGCATTTTCCTCTTTGCATTACTTCCTCTTCTACTGGTCCTTAAATTTCTCTAGGCAGAACTTTTGGTTTGTAAGTTCCTCTAGGCAGAAATATTTCATATTTCATACTCATATTCATAACTCTATCAACAGCTCCTACTGTAGTTCTCAGCATACAGTACGTATTCAAACAATGTTCAAGGAATGAATGCCCCTTAAATATGAAGCAGGCTTTGGTGGTTTTGTGTGGCATTTAAAGGAAGGAAGACCAGTTTGTATGCTTGGCCTGTATCCCAAATAGTTGGTCCTGTGGGAAACAAAAGATTTTTGCAGTTAGCTGGATGATTGCTCATAGGTTCCTTTAATCTTGGGAAACGAGTCTTCCTTGTAAATGTTACCCACTTTTTCTAAGATGATTCTCAGAAAGATTAATAACCTGGTGATTCCCAGTATGAATTGAAGCCCCTAAGCCTTAGAGATCTCATGGCTCTTCACACCAGCCCAGGCTGCATCACGCTGGTATTAATGAAATACTTGACTGCCCGACTACCAGCCACATGTGAAACCTACCTACCAGAACCACAGAGAGCTTACCCAACCATCTTTCCTCCAGGTATAGCGTTTATTTTTCCCTCCCTCTTTCTCTTCCCTTACGTACTCCCTTAAGTCAGAGTTCTAAAAAATAAAAATAAACACCTCTCAAAGCTCAGACCTCTTGTTAAACTTACTGTCTTTACTCCTAAAATTAAGGAAAAAAAATACTTTTTTGCACATCTTGCCTTAGTTATTCCTGTGTCTCACACAGAGCTCCCTATCTCTTCGGTTTCTCCATTCAAATAAATAGTAGTTAACATTTGTTAAGTTAGACCAAAGATCAGCTAGCAGCCAGCCACTGGTCCAAGCACTTAACACGTAATAGCTCATTTAATCCTCAACATCCTTATGAGATAAAGCCTATATTTTATAGATGGGGGACAGAGGCATAGAGGTAGATCACATAGCCAGTAATTAGTGGAGCAGGAATTGGATCCCTGGCAACCTGAATCAGAGGCTGCTCTCTTGACCACCATGCTTTAAATGGCCTACCATAATCCCTTGCACCAATAGATATTAATGAGCATTTTAAAAATAATGAATATTTACCCATCCACACTTAGCATCATGGAAGAAGAGACAATAATGAAATGGGTAGAACTTCAGGTTATTGAGAACACATAATTGACCCCAGTACCACAAGAACTGCTTTCTGTGATGGGACTATGCATCCTGCCTGTGGCCTATATTTGAAGCATGAGAGGGACATGGTCCATACTCATGATATCAGGTGTGCATGTCAGATCACTGAGCCTTCATGTTTGGATTCTAGGAACTCCTTCACAGTCGGTGAAAGGCATCTCCTGCTAAACCAACTCCTGGCTGAGCCCACCTACAAGCCAATTTGTGTTCCTCAGGGACCCAGCAGTGAGCAATGTCAGTTCCTGTGGCAGGTGGAATAATGGCCCCCACAGACATCTACATTCTAATCCCCTAGAACTTCTGTTACTTTATATGGAGGAAAATAGATTTTGCGGATGTGATGGAATTAAGAATCCTGAGATGGGGAGATTATCCTGCATTATCAGGGTGGGCCTTAAGTGCAATCATAGGTTCTTTTAAGTAGGAGGCAGAAGGAAATTTGACACATGGAAGAGGAAAAGGGAATGTGACCACAGAGACAAAGACTGGAGTAATGCAGTCACAAGCCAATGAATGCCAGCAGCCACCAGAAGCTGGAAGAGGCAAGGAAAGGATTCTCTCCAAGAGCTTCTTGAGGAAGCACAGTCCTGCTTACATATTGATTTCTGTCCGGTGAAAGTGATTTGGGACTTTTGGTCTCTAGAACTATACAGAAATAAGTATATATTTTTTTAAATCACTAAGTTTGTGGTAATTTGTTATAGCAGCCAAAGGAAATGAAAATACAGTTCCCAAATCTGGAAGATGACTTTCAGTATTTGGGGATTGAAATAAAAAGATGTTTCAAAGAATTGGTCAGTTTTCTCTTCTGTGGCCAATGAAGCCAATCATTTGTCGGGAGGGCAGAAGGGGGAGAGAGGAGAATTTAGCTCTCAGCATATCATATAAAAGCCTTCCAATATAGATTTTGCCATTATCTCCAAATAATACATACATAAAATAACTCGAATACACTTACATTACTTAAAGTAGACTTGAAAATTTAGGTTTGTTGCTCACTAACCAACCATATTATCTAAAGTACATGATAGTTTAATTTTTTTATTTACTAATATTTTATTTAGGATTTTAGCATCATTGTTTAATAGTGCTGGAGTTATCTAATGCTAGTAAGAAGGAGGCATTACTAATCAACAGACAGAAAGTTTCAGTCAAGCGAGATGGACAAGCTCTAGAGATCTGCTGTACCCATTGGACCTATAGGCAACAATAATGTATTAAACACTTAAAAATTTAAGAGAATATGATCTCCTTTAAGTGTTCTTCCCACAATAAAATAAAATATAAAAAAATCAATATCTGGTTAAATATGTATTCTATAATTATCTAGTGAACATTTGCATTATTCATTATAGTTAAAAGTGTTAATCTGTTAAATAAAAAAATATATAAATTCCTTCCAGAACGTAATTCAGGCTCTCGACCTCTGAGATGCTCTAGTACATTAAATTAAGAACCTTGATAAAGATATTAGATTTCTTTTTAACTCAAACCACCAGATAAAATATAGGACATCCAGTTAAATACAACTTACAGATAAACAGCTAATAGTGTTTTACAATGAGTCCATGTGCCATGCAAAATTCAGACAACAAATTGCCTCTGTTTTACAACCTGTTATTAACCATGCAAATGCTGGGATTTGGGAACATACCTTTATTAAGGAGTTATTTGTTATCTGAAATTCAAATTCAAGTAGGGACTTTGTACTTTTATTTGATATACTGACAACCCCATTTTTAATTCTTCAAATGCTCATGCATTTCCCATTTTAACCCTTCTCTTCAAGTCTTACTAAAGCAGGGCTGAAATGAGATTTAACCCCTCACTAATGGTCTAGGGCTGGAGATGCCTTGTTTACATAGCAAAAGAGGATATGATGTGACTCCTTTATGATATATTCAGAGAATCTAAGTCTATTCTGCCTGTGTGAGATTTCCCATTAGGCTATACCAAGTGTTCAGCATGCTACTATTTAACATACAAATAGTAGATTGGATTAGGATGAAAACTTATTTTTCCTTTTAAACTACTTTAACACCATTCACAATTCTGTGCATTTAGTACAGTAGTTCTGGCCTGCAGTAAGTAAATATTTCTGCCCCTTTTGTACTCTTTCCCCCATAACTGCTGGCAGCAAGATGTATAGTAAATGTATAAAAGGGCAAAGGCAGAGATGATAATAATTTATGTGGCCTGTATTGGAAATATGAGAGGGACAAAGTCAGGTAAATCACAAAGTTATTTGAGACTTAGTTTCCACTTCTGTAGAAATAGATCACAAATGTAAAATGTTCAGCATAGGGTACTCAATCACTATATGGCAACTATTTTGGGTGCCTTACTTGCTATGATTCCATGCAATGCTTTATTCCCCAGTCATGCCTACTATGAGGATTTACACATAAGTGCTCAAAAATATTAGTTAAACGAATGAATGTATGGATATAAGGTACTTTATATGAAAGTGCTATAAAATTGATGAACTACAGTAGAATTTTAAGATGTTAGTGCTAATAGTAATAATTAATAAGTAGTAATGGTTGACACCACTGAGTCTTTGATTCTGACTCAGCTTTGGAGAGCTTCTCTGCAAGAAATGTTTGGTTCTTTGCTTTTTTTAATCTAAAAATTTAATTGAGAGAGACACTGTCTACAGAACAGAAATATCTATTGATCAATGGAAAATGTTTCATTCATCCTGTTTTGCTCAGTAAAAATTCCCATTCATTCTTCAAATACTTTTTACTGTATTTCTTTCATGACACCTATGTCAGTTAAATTCGTTTTGGCCACCTTTAATAGAGACACCCCAATCTTCCCTGCACAAGTGGCTTTTCTTTGTCTCCTGTATCAGCAGTGCAGTTTAGCTGGCCACGGGTAATGTGGTATCACCACAGTCATTAATGCAAGGTGATAAAAGCTTCAACACCCTGCACTGGTTTTAGCCTATGATGGCTGTTAAGACTCTAGAAATCATGACTTTAGGGATTGAAAATAGAAGGTAATGGATAAAGAGTGAGCTCCTCCAACTGAATCAACCTCCTTTAAAGAGTATTCCAAAAGTCTTACTCAATGAATTTCACCTACTCTATGTGCAAGGAGAGGCTAGGAATTGTCTTTTAGTAGGTTACATTGCAGACAGAATACAATTGGGGTCTATTACTAAGGAGAACAGTTAGAAAGGATATTAGGCAAATAACCAGAGGTGTTTGCCATTGACCTTTTCATTTTTCCTTTCATCTTCATCTTCTAAGTCCTGGTTTGTTATCCATTGGCAACTCCTTGGAGGCTCTGTAAACCGAATAATTTTCTCCTCTTTTCCTTTGCATATGTTTAACAATTTCACAAATCCACTCTCTACTCTGTATGTTGTCATTCCATCTTTCTCATGTTTGCCTTACTTTATCATCTTGTAGCTGTTTATATATTTTATTTTTATTGAATTCTAAACTGCTTATACTATCTACTGTTTTCTCTAAATCTATCCAAATCTTGCACTTAGACCCTACAATCATTGATTTTATACATTTTCCCACTTAGTCCAGAGGCTTTCAGGGTCTTTGATTTTTTGCGAGCTGAGAAAGATTACCTTGTGATATGTCTGATATTCGCTTCAAAATAATCCAGTGTTAGGGAGAGGGAAAATTCAGTGGTGTACAAATGAAACAATATTAACTATGTGTTGAAATTTTTGAAAGTGGTTGATGGACAGGTAGGGCTTCATTATATCACTTATTCTGATCTGGTGTGAGCTTTACATGTTAAATAATAAAATGTAAAGAAATACATGATTGGCTTGAAGCTTTGTTTTGCAATCTGCTGAAATGTAAAGTCCTCCCCAAAATTTATTCAGAAAACTCCAAGAGGATTACCTTGTCTTTGTCACTTCTGCTTCTGGGATCTTTCACATTAATGCCATTCTTCCAGACATTTTTCCATACATGACTCTCAACTATTCAGCAAATTTCGTACACACACACAGACAAACACACACACACACACACACACACACACTCCTTTCACACAAAGTAATTTGAATAAGGTAGTCTTTATTAAGACCTATTGGACATATTTGGTGCTCACATCACATATTACCTAGCAATATAGAAGCCTTCATTCTTTCAGCTATGTGTAGCCTTTTGATTTAAGTATTTCCATGAGATGTAAGCAGAAGTTTGGTAGTCTTTTTCTCCCTCTGTACCTTCTCTTTGATTCCAGCTGATTGAAATACAGACCTGAATTCCAGAGCTTGACCAGCCATCACAGACCATGAAGCAATACCATTAGATGGTAGAGCATCAACATAGAAGGAGCCTGTGTCTCAGAAAATCACAGGAAGACCTTAGAATTCCTGGACTGTCTTACTTTTGTTTTCCTTATAAACACAAGAAAAATAAACATCTATATCATTTAAGCAATTGTCATTATGTTGTTGTTGTTTTTTCTATTATATGCTGCCAGACTTAATCTGGCGTGATATACTTACTAAGGACTTTTCTTTTTTCTAAATAAATTCAATTCCAAACCCAGGAGAAATTCTGCCAGATATTCATAATTTACTTTTGTCCCTTACCTCATTTCACCTCATTCCTGTATCCATTCTCAGATCCAGTCATAGACCTCTCTTTTCTCCCTGATTTGCAATCATCCAAACCAGTATAACAAAAATCTATTGCAGAGGTGAAATCTAAGTGGCTTAAATATTTCATTAAAATGATATATTGACTGTTTCAGTTATCAATTGTAGCTAAAAATAACTCCAAAACTTAGTAGCTAAAAACAAAATGATTTTTTTTCTCACAATTCCATGAGTTTGCTAGGATCAGCTCAGGAGGTCTTCTGTTCCCCTTAGTGTAGCTGAGATCACTCCAGTAACTACATTCAGCTGGGAGACCTGTTGTGGTTGGAATGTCTGCGATGTCTGAGATGGTCTCATTGTGTAGACCTCCCTCTCTCTGACCTCACATTATCCTGTTGTCCAGCCTGAGATTCTGTACATGGTGGCTCGCTTCCAGAAGAAACAAGCTGTAATGTGCAAACACTTATTAAGTCTCTCAGTGCATTATGTTAGCTAATTTTCAATTAGTGAAAGTAAGTAGCATGGCTAAGCCCAGTGTTAATATAGGAAAAATATTCACAAGACTGTGGCTATCAATAAGTGTGGCTCATTTGGGCACATCATTGTCTTCATCAGTGACTTGCTAAATAAAAAATTTAGCAAATGATTTGAGAGGGCTGAATGTTTCTTTCTCCCCGCCACCCTAAAGTCACAATGTTGAAGCTCTAACTCCCAGAGTAATGGTATTTAGAGGTGGAGCCTTTGGAAGGTAGTTAATTAGGCTTAGATGAGGCCACCAGAGGGTAGTGCCCTCATGATGGGATTTGTGCTATTATAAGAGGAAAAGACAAGAGAGGTCTTTTTTTCTCTCTCTCCATTTGCATCCACTGAGAAAAGGCCATGTGAGCACACAGCAATACTGTGGTTGTCTGCAAGCCAGGAAAAGGGCCCCCTCTCCATGTGTAATTTTTCAGTACCTTGATCTTGGACTTCCCAGCCTCCAGAACCATGAAAAATAAATATCTGTTGTTTAAGCCACCTGGTCTATGGTATTCTATTATATGAGCCTGAGCAGACTAAGGCACCATCTGAACTGCATTTTTGTTTCATCTCCTCCTGATGTTTCCCAGCAGTCAATGCATAAAGAAGCAATTTTATTTAGTTGGAGTATTCCCTCAAATAGATAATGTCATTTAAAGATGGAATCTCTTTTTTTTCATATTTTTGTCACATTCACTTTTCTATTTCAGGTTTCATTT